ATCTCTGCCAGGGAACAGCTGGTACCTAGTCCCTTACAGTACCGGCTCTCCTTACACACATGATCCTTGTTTCAGCATTACTGAAGGTTTACCATAGGAGTGCTTCACATGTTAAGGACACTGAGGTAACGCTACTGCTTCAGGGAGAGAAAGCCTCTCCTCTAACACCTGCAATCATGATAGCATTCTTTCCTTAGAAAAGCATCATAACAATAACCACAAAACCTTGCTGCTTCCTCGGTCTACCATTCAAGTCTTTACCTTCCTGATTAAAATTCTTCAGTAAACCACCCACATAGCTTCATATGCCATATTTTGTAATCCAAGAAATACAGTTTCTAAGCCCAGTTTCTAGTCACTCATTCATTCATGTCTATTAATTCACTTGAACACCTATGTTTTCAGTATTGATAGTATGCCAGGCTCTAGGCTAAATACTAGAAGTACACTGAAAGACTTATTATCTGCAGGAAAGTTATAGTCTATAGATTAACACTTACTGAAAATACTCTTTCCAAAGAAACCATTAACCCCTCCATTCCTAGATTGGAAGTAATTTCTTTAAAAAGTTTACTAATTATATGTGAAACACAGTCTTTGGCACATGGAGATCCTTAATGATAAGATTGTTTTTCCTTCAAAAATCTTTGAGACAGTTAGACATTTATGTAAAGAACTTCAAACAAACTGGAATGTTTTAAGGCCCATAATACAAATTCAAATTAAATGATTTTTAACAGGAAAAAGATTTAAACAGAAAGGGACAAAATTATGAGAATCAAGAAAGCCCTTTGGAGAGGGTAGCATTTAAGATGACCCTGTTAATTACGGAGAACTCAAAATACTCCACTGATTTGGTCTTAGTTATCCTCTTTTCTTGAAGAAATTATATAAAAACCGAGTCTTGATGGGTCTTCATTCATTGGCAGTCCTTCAGTAAACCAGTGGTAACATGCCTACAAGATGCCCAGTCCTGTTTCCCAGCCCTGTACCTCATCCATCAGACCTAACTGCCTTGGAACAGACGTAGCAGTTCCGTGGGATAATTGCGTTTTAATTGAACTGTCTGTACTACTCTGTAAACGCCTCTGCAGAGATGGAAGGTTGTGTAGCATGATAAATAAAATCATTTCTACTAATAATTCCTTCGGCACAAGGATTATGAATCTAACCTCTGGGAGAAGATGCCGCAGGAAAGTATGTGCTGAGACTCATTAATTTTTTCTAAGTAATTTCACAATTTGAGATGGATATGGACCGCCCAGTATGTTCTCATATGGAAAAATCTGTGCACCTGCAAATGGGTGTGTGGGCGACTTTCATCTTCAGTGCTTGTGATTAGAGTACTGTGGAATCTTACATTTTAATCTTCCATGTAAATACCTTGTGTGGGGGCTTTGTCCACAGTCAGGGTAACATCTTCAGTGACTATAAAGCAGAGGTTTTATTGCATGCATATACACTTACGTGTTTTCCTTACATTATTTGCCCCACTTTGGAAGACAGAATGCTGGAGTTGGATTATTTGTTCCCTTTATAGCTCCTAGACTTTGGAAAGAAAGATACCCTAATACAGTTATGTTTAAGTCAGTGAGACCACATGATTCCAGGCCTGGCACTGCCAAATCATTCCTGGTCATATTATAAAATCCTCCAGAGCCAAAGTTTTACAACCACAGAAATGTGACTAAAATAGCATTACTTCTTTGTAAACAGTTGGCACAGTACCTTGCACATTTTCAGTGCCCAGTAAGTGTTGTCTAGTTGCCTCTGCTGTGTGTTTCCCATTTCATCATTCCTTCCTCAGCTTCATTCTTTCCCTTTCTCTTACCTGTCTGCTTACCTGCTGATGCAATTTATCGCCTTTGGGGCTGATGTTGGCTGGACTTAAGTGACATGGGACTTAAGCAGCCTTCATCTCTGTCAGTGTGAGTGATGGTATTATCTCCCCAATTTCAGTTTTGTTTTTTTATTAATCCCTAAAAGTAATACCTGTTTCTAACCAGTTACCAGCAGGCTGAATTAAATTCATCACATCTGAAATATGGTATTCCTTTTCCTAAAAGGAAAATGCTAAGGAAATAAAATGGATCCGTGATTAGAAATCTGTGTGTTGTGGGCACTTGTTTTGTACAGTATGTATGTAATCTAGAATCTAATATTAGCTCTAGGCATGCACAACCCAGCTTGAGGGATTTTTGCACCATCTCCCAGGCAACTAGAGGCATTCAGGCTGCCTTTGTGAAGAGCTCTGATGTCTGGGAACCTGTTTTAAACTTACCTGCACTTCTACTAAGTGAAGGTGTGAACCTAAAGCTGTGGAGAGTGACTTGTGACATGTGCCCTCAATCTAGAAAGGTTTTTTTTCCTTTTTTTTAGAATGAGCTTACTCCCCCAGTGGATCTCAGAAGCTTTGAAAAGCTTAGGATGTCAGATGACAGGGAGTTGAGGGTAACAATGACTGAATGTGCTCTGCAGTTGGATTTCGCTGTCGACCTCTAGGTCCTGCATTCCAGTGGCACCCTCTGATAGTATCTCAGGTGTGGCCCTCTATGTATCAGGATAGTTTATTATTACTGGATGACTCCAAAAAGAGATGTTTTAACTAGGAACAATGTTTTCTGCTTGGTAAAATGGAGGCTTCCTTTTCCCGATTTTCCATTTTTAGCTCACCTTCTTGTGCTTTCCTCAACAGTTCGCAAAGGTTACCGGATCCAAGCTGACAAAGAGAGAGACTCGATGAAGGTCCTGTACTATGTCGAGAAGGAGCTGGCTCAGTTTGATCCAGCCAGAAGGATGAGAGGCAGATGTGAGCATCTGTTAGTTTCATGTGATCTGTGCTTCATGCAGGACTTGGTAGCTAAAAGGGACATCAGGGTTGGGGGAGGTCATCAAATTTGACTGGTCAGAACCAGCAGGGCTACTTGTGATACCACCAAAGAAAGTGCCTCTGAGCACCTAGAAGGGAATAGGAAGGGCTCCTGGTGTGAAGAGTGAGGCAGTCACATGTGTGCTATGTGTGTCTCTCCATAGTACAGTCAGTGTTGATTGCTGTTGTCTTTTAATCTTGAGGTTTAAAATGTTTCATTGAAACCATTTCCCTCTACTACTCTGTTTAAGAAATATTCAAAATAAGACTTAAGATATGAAGCTTCAAGGGCTGGGGAGATGGATTAGCTAGTAAAGTCATTGCCATGCAGGCTTGAGTTCAGATCTCCAGCACTTAGATAAAATCCAGGCCATGACAAAGCATATCTGTAGCCTCAATACTGAGATAGAGAGACAGGGGGATTCCTGGAGCTCACTGGCCAGTCAGTCTAGCCAATCAGTGAGCTCCAGGTTCAGTGAGAGGCCCTGTCTCCAAAAATAAGGTTGAGAGGGGCTGAGGAAGATACCCAACTTCAATCTCTGGCATAAGCATCTGCAGACACACATGTGCATGTGCATACACACGCAAACACAAAATGTGAACCTTCAGCATTAGCTTTTCCCACATGAAGGGCCCTAGTATTGGCAACCAGCTGCTGACTTGCCACATGGCAGCGTCATTGGAAGTGAAAGAACAAGTCTGGCAAATTAATCTAGAAAAGAGAGGCTAGCATTCCTCTGAGATGCCTGACCACAGAGATTGAGGGGTAAGCAAAGAGGCTACTCTTGTCAAAGAACTTTTTAATTACTAAGTCTGTAAGTGGCAGGGCCCCAACCCTTAACTTATCCACAACTCCTGGAGACTGCAGCTGACACAGCTGATTCTTTAGGGTGAATTCCAAATTACTGTCTATCATAGGAGGCAGAACAGGGCAAGTCTGACATGGATGGGCTAATTATCAAGAGGGTGCTGGCAAGCATGGTAGTGAGGTCACTAGGCACTTTCTTTGAACCTTCCTCTTCTTGGAACCAACCAGAGACTTGATGGAGTTGTTGGGAAAACAGTCCCAGACTAGAAGAGCTTTATTCAGATTAAGGACAACATATTCCACCCAGTTTGCATTTCTAAATTCATCCTGTCTGTGTTGCATCCATTGCTGCATCCTCCCACTGCACTGACTATAAAAAGACCATTCCAGATTGGAATGTCAGTAATGCAGATGTCACTGCACTTGACAAGCTAGTTGTAACAGTGTTGTCATGGATCTCTGCAAAGGGACGGAGACCTAGAGAGTCCTGGATCAAGGAGCAGCCTAGGCAGGAATTCTGCAAGGATCATAGCTCAGAGGAAACGTTAACTCAGATCAAAAGTAAAGAATGGACTTCAGTTTATATGAGCTCTCTGATCGATACCCTTATTTAAATGGTCTCCAGAAGCTGGCTGGTCTTAAGGTAGAATCTTAGAGTTGAAAGAGAGCTTAGAGATGGTCCACATCAACCTGTGCCATGTACAGATGAGGAAACACAAGGATTGAGGATTGCAGATTCCCAGTCTTATGATTTATACACCAAAAATTTTTTAAGCTAAGTGTAGACGGCTTCATAGCTATAGAATGAATCTGTTGAGAGCACTGTCTTGTTCATAGGGCTCTAGATTAGAGTACCAGCAAACACCTTGAGGTGATTGTTGACTCAGCCTTCTTTACACAAGAGGAAAATGAGCCAGGAAGGGAAAATAACCAGTGCTAGCACTAGGGTCAATGCCAGGACTGGAACCTAAATCACTTGGCACTGCCGGTTGGCATTACAGTAACTACATGGAATGATGCAGGAATATAGTTCATTTCTAAAGGTTAGTTCTATTCCTAAGGAGCAAAGGAAACCCTAGAGCAAATCGTGGAATGGGACAATCTTGAAAATCTCGTTGTAAAATGGATCTCCTGATTTCATAGTTTCTGTAAGAACTCATGGTTTGAGGTCCAGGCTCATGAATTTGCTAGCCAGCATGATCCTCCTTTGCCTTACCCTTAAAAGTTACAGTTCTCCTGGATGTTTTCATTCTTGGAATTTCTAGAGCAGGAGGCAGCCAACAGTATCTCCTGGGCCAATTTTTGTTTTTTAAATAGTTTTATTGGAACACATCCATGCCAGTTCAGTTATGTATTTTCTATGATTATTTTTATTCTAGAACGGCAGAGTTGAACAGTTATAATGCCTCGCAAAGCCTAAAACATCCCTGGTCCTTTACAAACATTGGCATAGCCTTGTCCCAAAGTGACATTATCAGATGTCTATGAAGTGGGGTATGTTGATGTTCATGTTCAGTGTACATCCTGGACAGTTTATTTCTATGAATGGTCAAACGGTGATAGAGCTTACAATTTGGACAAATGAAAAAGGTCATATATTCCCTCAAGTTTAAAGAAAGTTCTGAGCCAACAATTGTTTTCAAATGGTCTCATTTGGTATATTTTAAAGCATTTCCCTGTATGCCTACTAGGAAATTGGAATTCATGGGAATTGTGAGAGGGGATGTACTACATTTTATTAATCAATAGTGTGAGTTATTTTCCTTTAAAATAGACATAAGGTCTGGAGAGATGGCTCAGTGGTTAAGAGTGCTTACTATGCAAACATGAGGACCTGAAGTGAATCTTAGCATCCACATAAACAGCTGGGCATGGTTATAGGTACCTGTAACCCCAACCCTGTGGGACGCAGAGGCAAGAGGATCATTGGGGTATGCTGGCTATCAGCCTAGCTCAGGGCCAATGAGAAACCATGTCTCAAGGGAATAAGGTGGACAGTAATAAAACAGGACACCTGAAGTCCTCTTATGGGAGAGGGGGGAAAAAACAGAGCACACCAAGAGCTCTTATGGGAGAGAGGGAGAGAGAGAGAGAGAGAGAGAGAGAGAGAGAGAGAGAGAGAAGGAGAGGTGAGGGAGAGATAGGAAGAGAAAGAGAACAAGAGAGAGGCATGTACAGTGCACACACAGATGCATATATTCCACACTCAAACATAAAGAATAAAAGATATAAACTAATGCATCGTCCTTGAGAAGTAGAAAAGTTTTTAAATTCATTACAATTCCAATCCAAATAATCACATGTGGAAATTGAGTGACATTCTTGTCACTTGGTAAATCAGGACTAGGAAGGCTTGCTGTTGTACAAAACTTCCCTGTTCTTCCCAGTACTACTGTGACAGGGAGGAGGGAAAGCAAATGGAACTTGAGACATATATTTCTGCTCCAAGCATTTGTTTTTGGCTTATCTTTCACTCAAAAGCAAGGCCTTAACCTAGTAAATGTTGCTTTTAATAATATTTTTGAAGTCCTAATAAAAAGATTTTAGAAAACAAGTGGATTTAGTTACATTGCAAATAGAATCACTGGATTTTTAAAAATAAAATGACATTCAATACATTTCAAGGTTCTATAAATAAATGAGTTTTCTTTTTCTTTCTAGACTAGACCATTGTTCTGGTCCTTGTTCGTAAGTGTCTTTGCAAAAAGCCACTTGTGAAATGAGAAGGCTGTGACTAAACACTGCCTTACATTTTTAAGTTGGGGCCAGAGTACAAGTTCTAGCCACTGGACATAAAGACGGTCCACCCATTTCTTCTCGCTGCTCCAAGCTCATGGCCACACGTACCTGAAATACTTTGGTGGGGTGAAGAGGTCCATCCAGGCCTTAGTAGATTTGGTGCCACTTGGACAGGCTATTCCTGGTTCCTAGATGAATGTGGTCTCAAAAGTGTACTGACAATACATGTGCACTTCTTGACCTTGACTTCATGCCGTCAGGACGAGGAGAGCAGAATGGGGTTCCTCTAAAGTATGTGTTGCTACTGGCTCTAAAGCCTATCTTGTGACTGAGCCAGCAGTAGGGAAGATGCTATGATTGATGGCTTTTTTTTTTCTCTTTGTCCCTTTTTGGCCCAGCATGGCTGGGATCATCATAGCTCATCATAGAATTATACAGGACAGAGGAAAATGCTGGAACAAGGACAACATACTAGAAGGCCAGCTGCAGAGAGCCTGAGTTCTGGGAAGCCTGCCTTAGGTGGAACAAAAAACAATTGTCCTCTTATTCCAAGAACAGAGCATGTAGGAAGCCTCCTTCTGTAAGCAAGTTTGGTTTGAGCTGGAGCCAGTTCCTACTGAGCTAGGAACACAAATACCACCAGTGCAGGTCTGTAGCTCACCCTGGTCAGGACCAAGGCCCTCAGGCAGGAGTTTCTAGAGCCTGTGAGCTCAGCTCTTAACACTGTACCCTTCCTAACGTATAGAAAGCTCTGTCATGCCCCATTTTGTCCCTGCAGATAACAACACCATCTCGGAACTCAGCTCCTTGCATGAGGACGACAGCAACTTCCGCCAGTCTTACTACCAGATGCGCAGCAAGCAGTTCCCAGTGTCTGGGGACTTGGAGAGCAATCCTGACTACTGGTCAGGTGTCATGGGAGGCAGCAGTGGGGCAAACAGGGGGCCAGCCCTGGAGTATAACAAAGAGGACCAGGAGAGCTTCAGGCACAGGTGACGGCTGTGAGTGGGTAGGGGCCAGAAGGCAGGACAGATGCTACTGCCACCTGATGGCACATCTTCCATTCTAGGTTATTCCACTACGTCTCTTTCAATAAGACTATTCAATACCTCTTTCTCACATATGTCACACCCTCATGGTACCTTGGGTAGAAGTAATCACTCAAAGGTTTTTTGAGATGTATGCCTAGGCCTCTTAATGAACCTTGACATAGCTCTGCCCTCCTCATCTATTTTATCCCATGACCTCTAAAATTCCCACCTAGCTTCCCCATTCTTCTGATCATTGGTCATGTGAAAGGTTAAAAAAAAATCATATTAACACCCTTGTATTTAATTCTCATAATTCTAATAGGCAACTACTCTTAATGTCCCCATTTTAAGGTTAGGAAACAAAGTTCCACAAACCAACCAATAGGAGAGGCCAAGACTTTTAACAGTTGTGTGACTGCTTCCCCACTGAATGGCACCTGTCACCTGTCCTTTACCTAGAGGGATAGTAGACATGGCCTTTTCTTTACCCAGTGCATCTTTTCTGGCCTCCTGTCCTAACAGGTAACTTTGTCCTTGGCTCTGTAGGAGGAACAGGTCTATCTATGTCACCAAATAGTCCAGTCTCCTGGGACCAGAACTGTGTGTTACTTGCTGTGGCTGTGGGATGGGTGGAGTGAGCTGTGTGGCTGTCACCCAGAAGTGTGATAATGATCAGAGGGTCCCACAGCCGGTTTCAGCACTCCATAGTATTTTTAGATCTACAACTCCATTCTAGTCTTTGACACAAACACATGAGCTAGCCAGGCTTGCTCTCACTTGACATTACAAGGCTGAGCGGTGAGCAGGGCCTGCGATGATTCCTGGCCCAGAGGAGAACTGAGGCTGGACTCTGCAGGGCTTCGGACCAGACCCAGTAATCCGGTGCGCTGACCAATGACTCCATCTGTCCGCAGCCAGCAGCGCTCCAAATCCGAGATGCTGTCGCGGAAGAACTTCGCCACAAGCGTGCCGGCCGTCTCCATGGATGAGCTGGCGGCCTTCGCTGACTCGTACGGCCAGCGGGCCCGGCGAGCCAACGGCAACAGCCATGAGGCCCGGGTGGGGGCCCGCTTCGAGCGCTCGGAGTCGCGGGCGCACGGCTTCTACCAGGACGGCTCACTGGACGAGTACTACGGGCAGCGCAGTCGTGAGCCGCTACCCGACAGTGACCGCGGCTGGGCCTACAGCCCCGCACGCCGCAGGCCGGCCGAGGACACGCACCTGCCGCGCCTGGTGAGTCGGACCCCGGGCACGGCACCCAAGTACGACCACTCATACCTGAGCAGCGTGCTGGAGCGTCAGCCCCGGCCCGAGGGCGCCAGCCGAGGCGGCAGTCTGGAGACGCCAGCCAAGCGCAGTGCGCAGCTCGGCCCGCGCAGCGCCTCCTACTACGCCTGGTCGCCACCGGACACCTACAAGGCGGGGACCAGCGAGGGCGAGGAGGAGGCTGACGACGCGGCGGAGGATGCGCTGCCGCCCTACAGCGAGCTGGAGCTGACCCGGGGTCCATCCTACCGTGGCCGCGACCTGCCCTTCCACAGCAACTCAGAGAAGAGGAGGAAAAAGGAGCCCACCAAGAAAACCGTAAGGCCATGCCCTGAGCTCCTTCCAGAGGGCTGGGTGGGAAGCAGTTGGGGTGCCTGGCCCCTGGACAGAGATGCAGGATGGAGGGCCATGAGAGGGACCCCTGTCGTCCTACTTATGAGAATCTGGCCGTGCTTATTAGGACTCTGTGGAGGGTCGGGTGAAGAAGTAAGGGCGGGACCTTCAAGAGGTTAAAAAACAAAAATAAGGAACCAGATGGTGTGTAGATGGTTTTATGAAAGATCACCTTGAAAAGCATCAGAGCTTTCAGGCCCATCCCCACCAGCCTTTACCTGGGCTTCTGTGATATGCATGCTTTTATGTGCATTCCTCTCTATGTTCTGCCCCACTTGGGGTGAGAGTTCCCAAACAGTACATACCCCAGAGAAGGTTAGGAGCGACTGCTGTTTGCAAAGGACGAGATTGAATGTATGCTAGGCTCTGTGCCTTGCATGTGTGAAGGAAAACCTCTGACTTATAGCAGTCTACTCTTATCTGTTAGTCCCTGAAAAAAAAGCTCTGGACCTCAGAAACATTAGGGAACAGTCACATATGTCCACTGTGGGACTCCAAAGTGCCTCGGATGGCCCCCTTCCCCCATACTTTGGAGGCCACTCCATGCCCAAGTACTTCTGTCTCCAATTAACATGCTTCTCTCCATTTTGTTTTGCATGATTCCAAGCTGGGCCTTCTTCCTTCCTCCCTCCCTCTCTACCTTCCTCTCTCTTTCCTTCCTTCACTTCCTCCTTCCCTCCCTCCCTCCCTCCCTCCCTCCCTTCTTTCCTTCCTTCCTTCCTATTCAGGGCTGGAGAGCAAAGCTTGCCCATGCTAGACAAGCATTCTACCACTAAGGAACCTCCTTAGTTCTGGGCATTTTCTTTAGTACATATGCAAAGAAGGAATATGAAGAGAACAAAGATGCTTGACATTATTATTAATTCCTCCAAAACAATGAAGTGTCTTAGAAATGCCATGACATTTAGGTGATTTCAGGTTGATGGTAACCATCCACACTTGATACTGTGGAGTTGCAAATACAATTATTCTTAAGGCAATGGGAAGTTATTCCTTAGCCATGGAACTGCATTCTATATGATGTCTGCTAGCTTTAGCATCATCTGGGCTTTGGCATAATCATCAACTCTAATGCAATCCTAAGAGTCAGTGTATGCCAGGTTGTAGACTGCCCAGTCAGCTATTAGTTGTACCTGTGGCTTTCTTTATACAGCTTGTGGTTTAATATTGGGCTCTTTCTGTTTTTCCCTAGAGTGACTTTCCAACCAGGATGTCCCTTGTGGTCTGATAATTTCAAGATACCTCTCTGGATGACTAGAAATCAGACACAGACCACAGGGACAAGACACAAATCTGAGAGCCAGAAGTCCCAAGACCTTCTCTGGCCAGCAACCACCTTGAAAGATTTGCTGATCTCTGCTTTGGCAAGGGATAGGAAGCACCCTTTAAGTGAGGCTGATTCCAAACTCTAGTCCCCATTTAACTATCTTGAGAAACTTATCAAGAAAAACAGTGTTGTCTGAGAACATCCCACATGCCAAATTTCTAAACTGTAGAGTTTTTCTTGCACCCCTCCTCCTTCCTTAGCGGAACCAAGACTCTATGACCTCTTCTGAAAGAAAAGTAGCTTTGGACCACTGATCTTCAGAAACAGTGTTTTCCATACCTGCTGTGCTGTGCTTAGAGACAGAAGAATCTATTACTTCTATTAGAAGACCTTCTGCTGGCAAGGAAAGATAACTTCAAGACAAGATGTGCTTTTGATCCCCATCACTTCCCAGTCACTAGTCAGTGACTCCTGTTATACTAAAATCAGAAGGCCATTCGTGAGCTCAGTGATAGTGACTTCCTGGACAGTCACAGAAATGACTTTAATTTGCTGCTCTGAACCATAGTTTGTAAGTGGCTGAGACAAGCAGAGGATAGCATTTTGAAAAGCTGATAAATGGTCTTTCTTTTTTCCATCCTGAGGTCATAAACTGCTTTTCCTCTTTCTGTTGCACAGCAACATCTGAGCCTTGAACTCTTAAGGGCTCTTCTCCTTCTCTCCTCTCCTGGACTTTCCATGGGCTGGTGCCACACACAGTGTCCTGCCTCCCTCTGCAGGCTGATTAGCTAGGCGCCAGGTGCCTTTGATAGATGTTTAAAACATGCACATGAAAGAGAAGAAGGAGAAAAGGAGGAGAAAGCAGCAATGCAGGTTGCCAGAGAGATGGAGTCTGTCTCCCTTGGCCTCACTGTTTCTGTAGATGCTTTTGAGACATGAGAGATCCTACTTTCTCAGCAAGAAGCTCTTCCTTTCTACCCTTGCCTAGAATGATGGGTTTTGCCTACATCCCAAAGCTAGAACCAGATTTTGTAATGTGCATAAATTGAAAAAGTGTTCACACACTCTTCCCTCCTCATTAAGAGCTACATGCTTATATTTCTACTCCTTGAATTTAGAGTTTACCATGTGATTTGATGTGACAAATGAGCCAACAGCAAATGTGACATAAGCAGAGACTTGAAAAGTTCCTGTACATGAAGTTTTTCTTCTCTTGCTGTTCACGGGTCCTTTGCAACCACCACCAGGTGAATGTGCCCAGACGAACCTGCTACGTGATGAGAGAAAAGAGCCTGTTCACCCCTGTCACTGTATGTGACAGTCCTATCAGCTCTCAGCAAACACAAGAACATCCAGTCAATACCAACAGAACTGCCTAGCTGAGCCCAGCCCAAACTGGGGATTCCTACTTGAGACATGACAAGTTTGGTACATCCTATGTGTTTATTTATCTTCAAGGACAAAACTATTTCTTGTCAGAGCATTCAGCCTTGAGTCTCTTATTCCACACAACTTTAGGTCTCTCACTGCCTCCACTTTCTTTGATAAACTTCCCAGTCTGCATTATTATGACCGGTCACATGATTGGAAATCACTGGAGAAAGGTGATGCTTTCTATCCCCTAATCCAGCGAGCAGTCTGTTCTGTATTTATGAATCTATGTATAGCCTCTGAAGGAGGTTGGTCAGCATTTTCCTTAGTCTTCTTCAGAGCCACCTAATTGGAGTTCCCGAGTCCATTCTGCTAGCAACCATTGCATTTCGTGGCATTTCCAAAAAAGTTCAACATGTATGATGTTGTAAGAAGCCACTGGGTGAGGGTTGGAGGGATGAGCTGGTATCATTGCTTGAAGGAGAACTGGCCTGCCAAAGGACTTCACAGTTGCTTTGCCCTGCCCCAGATAAACCAGGAGGACACTTCAGCCCAGTGCTGGCACTTCCAAGGGCTGGAAGACACAAGCCATAACCCTGGTGCTGAGTTTTAGACCTGCTACTGTCCCTGGCCTCAGAAAGCCTAGATCTGGTCTGTCTGTTTGGGCTCCAATTCAGTATGATTAAAAACATCATTTCTTAATCACCAGCTTTGGATTTCAACTTGCTCAGGCGATTCAGAAAAATATTGAAAAGCTGCAGTGGCTATTGTTGCTTTATACTGAGCACTGTGTCAGGCTTCTTACCACCAAAGAGCCCCATAGCACCAGCTACAGAGACCAAATATATTGCTTTTTAAAGCCAGGGGCATGCATGATCTTGGTCAAAGCTAAGAGGAGCAATAGTAGAGTTACTAAAATTGGAAACATACAATTCCAAAGACAACGAGACTATAGGCCAACAATTTTTTAAAATCAACATAAAGAAGATAACAGGCTTTTGAAATTACTAGGGGGAGAAGTGGGGGGGGGGGCAGGTGTCCTCTGTCGGGCTGCATGAATCACTCATACTTCCAGACCTTTAGTAGAGAGAAAAAGCAATTGTTTCTGGGTATGTGGATAGGAGATAAGACTGGACAGACAAGGCAAAGCTGGCTATCTCCAGTACCCCTGACTTTTCTCTACGCATCCCTTTGTTTGGTTGTCCAGTAGTGTATCCTGCACAGGAAGTGCCTATACATGTTAGCTCCCTTCCTGTTTTAACTAGTGTATAAAATAAGTCTTGTGTAAAGTGTGGTATCTGTCCATTTGGTCCCTACCAGTTAGTAGGGAAAATAAGATGTGCCCAAGAAATAATGAAGAGATTTTATGCATATAATAGGAAATAGTGCTATGGATAAATTATAATAAACCCAGAGATTTAAAGGTTTTTTTTAGCTTAAATGGAAATATTTTGATATTTAAGTGTTGAATGTTTGTCCACCCATCCCATTTCAAGACATCAGTGATCTGAAAAGCCAGACTATAGAGTCTGAACTGAGAAGAGGTAAAGAACAGGGAAGGAGGCCCAGAGGGCTGATGCAGAGCTTCTGTGTTTGCCTGTGAGTCACAGCTGAGTCAGGGACAGGCTGGAGGAGGGAGTGTGGAAGCAGGTGGAGGGAGGTATCCCCTGGTGCATGGAGTGCTTCTCTGGACCATGTATAGACTCATTAGGAGGCTGAGGACAATTATCTCTTCCACCCAAGCAAGCTGGAGGGAGCTCAGCATCTGTTCCCTTAGGAGCTCAGATCTGCAGCTTGGGTACTGTTACCCACTTTTACTAATTCAAGTCTCACAGAGGAGATGGAATTTCATCTCCCTTCTCATGATCCTCAATCTATACTTGGTGTGGGACCATGCATACCAGAACGAGAAAGGGTTGATACCCAAACCCAAGGCATCAAGCCACACTGGTATATATTTGTTATAGTCTATAAACCACACAAAAATTGATTTGATTTTAGAAAGCCTTTGAGAGAGGCCAAAGTAACAGCTATTGTTATTTATCCACACTTCTCCCCTTTTTAAAAATGGAGAAACCATTACTTCCATTAATAAAGTCATAAGCCTATCAGGTCTCTAGACTCCCAATCTGTAGACCTTTCCTATTGGAACAATGTTTTACAAAATTGCCTGGCTATAAGAATTACTTGCTTGGAAAGCTGGGAATATGGATCAGTTGGTAGAAAGCTTGCTTAGCAAGCACATAGCCCTGGATTCGATCAACACCATAGAAACTAGAGTGGTAGCACATGCCCATAATCCCAGCACTTGAGAGTGGAGGCTGGAGGATTGGAAGCTCAGGATCATCTTAAACTTGGCTACATGGTGAGTTCAAGACTAGCCTGGGGCTACAAGAGACTGTCTCAAATGAGCAAGTAACAACAACAAAAAGAAAGGAAAAAAAAGAATTATTTGACTGCCACTGTAGAAAGGTATGGTTAGGCTGTGCCTTGGAGAATAGATGGGTGGACCTGGAGCCAAGATCTGTATTCTGATGATGTATTTTCAGAGAACCCTGTGGTAGATGACTTTGGGTAGTGTTACACTGGATCATACCTCTGGTCATAAGGCTTCTTTGAACTGTGGGTTATTTTCTTCAAATGTCCAGGTGGAGTTTTTCCCATTCCCTTGGGGCTGGCACTGGTAAGGCACCCAGCCATGGGGACTGGCTCACTAGAGTCTTGTCGAGAGAAAACAGAACAGAAACAGAGAATTAGGAGCCCTCCCCAGGAGCCTGCTTTAGATGTTCCTACTCCCAGAATAGTGATCTGTTGTGACAGGCTCAGATCAGACAACAAGAATTACAGGTAATTTTCTTATTCCCTGATGCCATTCTAAGTAAAACTTAGATCATGAATAGAAAGAAAAGAGCCATTGGGAAAAAATGGCAAATGTAAGTCATTTTTAAAGCATACAAATTATCATCCTTGCTCATCAACATAAGTTCTACCTTCAGACCTGAATTGACTGAAGAAAAACAATAAAATCTACAATATAACTCCTTCCAAAATCATACTTAATTGCTGCCAGAATCTTACAGGAGTTTGAAAGTGAAGTATAGAATATAGAAATCCAAATCCACTAAAATAGTCCAGGTACCTAAAGTCCTAGAAGCAAAAATGGACCAAGTTTTCCCTGCCAGGATCCTACCTCCTAGTCACCTGGGGAAATGATCAAAGAAGCTCCAGGTTAGGAGCTTGAAACATCAAAGCTGAGCAAGGAGAAGCTGAGCTGCTTTAAGCAGCACCCTGAGCATTAGCACTGCCGGAGGGTGATAAGGTCAGTTTTTAATGCTCTGTGTATTACTTTTTTGATGCATTGCTGTTTACAGACCACTTTCATATGCATTATCTCATTTGATCCTCACATCAAGCCCCATGATAGAAGTAGAATGGGTGTTATCCCATCACAAAGAATGTAGTCCTGAGGTTGAAAATGCCAAGTGACTCACCTATTGTCAAATGGCTTTTAGAGTCTTTAAGTGGCCTTCTGACTGGCTAGGGCTCTTTCCAGTTCCTACAGTAGTCGAAGGTTCAGACTCCAGCTTATTCGCTCCACAACCAGAGGTGTAGTGAAGAGAGTCCTGGACTCGATGGTCATTCATATGTCATCAGTGAGGTAAAGTCATGGAAAATAGACATTTGTGGCTTCATTCATCCGTACACGTTTCTTGAAGGCTACCCGAAGAGGGAGGGGACTTTGCTGGAATTTTTCATTTTCAGTATTCCTGCAATATGGGGGAAAGGCTTTGACGAATGTGCTGCAGCTTCCTGGATTCTTCTTGAAGGGAATTTCTGAGCCAAACTACAGATTCATCTAGACTCAGAATTCCAGAGTTGTGGGCAGGAGCTGGCATCTTCACTATATTTCAAGATTTTAGGTACACGCTGAAGGATCAGCTCGAGAGGGAGACAAGGAATGTGAGTCAAGGAGAAAGTTGTAGAAGTTAAGCCAAAAGATTTCGTAGAGTTTCTTGGTGGAGCTGCCTGGCCATGTGGTAAATATGGTCTGACCTTTTTCCTCAAGGTAGGCTGGAAAAATACCCTTAAGTTTCCTCTTACCTTGGCTTTGAGAATCACATTTATTAACAAAGGTATTGACACCACTCCACTAGAAATGTATACGTAATAATAACACAATAATGAAAGAAGCAATGGGACAAAGAGCAGCTGCCTGCTCCATGGCAGTCACCTGCCCAGTAGTTTTTGTGCCTTGTCTGTGACATCAAACTGAAATGTTTGTATCTCTGTTGCCTATGTTTTTTTTTTCTATGTCAGACATACAAAGTGCATTTGATTGTAATGTTTTAAAGTAAATAAAGCATTTTCATCTACTTTTGTTATAAAGAATTGAATCAACATAACATTGGTCTGACATTCTCTTCTCCAAGAAAAAATAATACATAATAACATGTTATTCACATGCCATCATGAAGCCTATTACTTTGTACTCCTAACCTAAAAAATACTTAAAAAAAAAAAAGACTGGGGTGGGGAAACCATATAGCACACCCTCCTGAGAATGTTCTAAGTACTATATTATAGAAAAATAAATATTGTGGGGTTGTAGAGGAGGTGGGTACTGCCTGCATTATGTGTGTTTTCACAGACTTTAATGAGCTTCAGGCTGGGTAAGTTCTGTTGGCACTTACTGCTGTAGCATTTAGGGGACATGGAGGTAGGAGAGGTGGTAAGACAATGTAATAGAACTTGGCTCATTTTCAAGAAATGAACCAGCATCTGCCTGATTGAAATTACATTTGGGAAAGGGAGGCGGGAAGCTATTCGTGGGAGGACATTTTAAGTTCTGAAGAGATCTGAAAAATTCCACAGCACCATAATTAAGAGAAGGCAATTAAAAACCTTTGTTAGCATAAGGTGTGATAAAATAGGGACTATTATCAGCTTTTGTTGACCAGGCCCTGTCAAGGGAGTTCCAGCTTTGGGGGTCCTAGTTGAATGGAAAACCTGTCCTTATTTGAAACATTTGGGCTTAACTCTCTTTTAGTAATTATCTTAAAGAATTGCATGTAAGTACAACCTAAAAATAGACTCTAAAACATTTTAATTCAGATGACTCTTCTGGAATTTCTACTATTTTATCAATTGATTTAACTCCATCTTGATTTTCTAGCCCTGTAAACTAAATTGGCTTTTGTTTGTTTAGCATCATCCCTCCTTTGTTCCCTATGAATTTTTTCTTCCTGCATTTTAGATCTTCCTTTTGAAATAGCTCTCTTCTTCCTGTAGGAAGTTTTCTTTACTGCTGATCCCTTGGTGGGATGGTCTACTCAATCAAAGAGTTTTGCTACTGTTCCTGAAAGAGAATCTCAGTGATTCTATAGTGCCAGTTACTTTTGCTCACCAAGTTGAAGTTATTATTTCCCTTCTTTCTGACTTTCACTGTTGCTTTTGAGAAGTCCGTTACCAACCTAATCATTCTTCCTTTGTAAGTAATCTATCTTCTTGTTCTGTTTCTAAGATTTCTTTGTGTCTAATGTTCTTTAGTTTTAATTAACATGTAGTAGGTATGGATTTTCTATTAGTTGGGTTCCTCTCGTGAAAAACAGAATTGACAGAAAAGACCTGAAAGAATTTATTAATCAGCCCACTTCAAAATTGTAACAACAGTTGAATCACACCTGAGAGGCTGAAAACCTGGTGGTGCTCTTCCTTCAGACTGAGCTGCTGCCTCCGCAGTGGGAGTAGTCCCACAGTGGATGTCCACACTGAAGAGACTGAGACCTTGGTAGTTGCTCATTCCACAGGGCTGGGTACCTCCACAGTCCCAAGCTGGTGCCCAAAACCTGGTGAGTCCCTCAAGACCTCAGTGAAGGACAGAATCCTGAAAGTACTTGCTCTGATGTCAGCAAAGGAATCAGCAGCAGCAGCAACAGGATAAATCAACTTGGTGGAGAGAGGAAAGGCCAAGCAAGCAAAAGGCAGATAATCTTCCTTCTGCCATGCCCCTTTTTATCTCGGCTGCTATCACAAGGCGCTGTCCACATTTGGGGTGGGTCTTCCCCTACCAATTAAGGCAATCAGGACAATTCTTCCATTGAGGCTCCCTACTCCCTTGGTTCTAATTTGTGGCAAGTTGCCATTCAAACTAATCATCACGGATTTCTTTTTATTTATTCCAATTGGGATTTGTCCTTTCTCAATCTGTGGGTTAGATTTTCATAAAATATGGGGAAATTATCAAGTACTTCATTTTTAAACGTTTGAGAAATCCATTTAAATGTTAAATATTTTTATTCTACTTTCTATATTTTTAAATATATGTTTTGTATTTTCTATCTCCCTGTCTTCTTTTCTCTAGACTGGGTAATTTCTTCAAGTTTGTCTTATAATTCACTAATTTTCTCTTCAGCTGATCCCAGTCCTAATTTAATATATTTTTCTGTTCTAGATGTTCAACTAAGCTTTTTTAGAAATCTACCTGGGCATTTTGATAAGATCACACCTTATTGTGTACAATTTCCTTTTCTTTGCACCTATCAGTCTAATCACTTTAAATAGTATAGCATATATTTCTAATATCTACATAGTTTGAATTTGGAGTTTATTAATTTTGATAACTGTTGGTCATAATTTCTTCTGTTCTTATGCATTTTATGGTTTTTAAATTGTTTACATGTTTGGTGGGATAGCACATTACATTGTTGTCAGTCAAGAAAGATCCTACTTTTTACCCTCCTATCCAAAAAAATTCTCTCTCTCTCTCTCTCTCTCTCTCTCTCTCTCTCTCTCTCATAGATATTATGCATTGGGAATCCATAACTAAAAGACACTGAGTTTACACATGTAAGAATATTTTAGGGTTTAAAAATAAACAGGTCATTAATTGTTTAAAGTGGTCAAAGAGATAAGGGCTCTAGATTTCATTCAAAAAGTAAGGAAAGACTAGACCCATAGGATGAAAGAAAAGAGGGCAAAACAAAATAATTTATTGTCCTTCACTTTGGTTAAGTCTAACCAAGTTTTTATATACTTTCAATTCAGTAGACTGATTTCGGATTCTGGAAAATCTTGACAGAGGCATCTTAATAATACCACATCATTTAGGCGAGAGATCCATTTTCTACTGAATTGGTTTTAAGCATGCAGGTTTTCTTGAATGCCTACAGGTGGCCTGAAATGACTCACCCAATGTGGCAGGAGGTGTAGAGGTAGCTGGCAATGCTGGCTGGGGAGTGTGGGTTAGCTTGACACGCCATCTAGTGGTATGCATCCACCAGAATGCTTGAATCACTGACTGCAGGACTCGACCCGCTGGACAGAGGCAGGAGTGCCTTGGCACTACATAGGACGTGTTCCAAAGAGGTTATATGTGAATTAACTTTTGGCAAATAAAATTAAATGTTATTAATTTGGATGTGGTAAGTTTTTCTGTATTTTTTTTAGTTTAGAATTTGCCATATTATGTTCTCAAGGCAGACTTCTCTGGGTACCATGTGGGGAAAAGCTCGTTTCTTGCTTCAACTGAGAAGTAAGCTCATGATTTTCTTGACTTAAGGCTGTTCCAGAGTGTGTTTTTAACACTTTGAATGACATATGTTTTCTAAAGTTAGGCCAGGACTTTGATTTTAGAGGATTATAATGAAGAAAATATGATATTATTGGTATGTGACCGAAGTTCACAAGCCGTCCATTCCCCAGCCTTACACTGTACAAAGATGAATCTCCCTCTTTGGTGCACAGTCTCTGATTTCACACACTCAGGTTTTAAAAAATTCATTAATTTTTTTTTCAGGAATTCGTACACAGAAAACATTTCTTTCTGTTTTGTTGCATACCTTGTGTAGCAGCTTAGTGTCAATGTGTATTCTTCCTAGCTGTTTTTCTTTTTCCTGAGATTTCTAGCCTTCAGTCAAGCAAAGCTGGAGGAATCTGTATGTCAGCCTCTGTGTAGCACTATTCTTAGAAAAGCCATTTGTTACTTGAGTGGATTTCATTCATAGTGGACATTAAGACCTGCCCCCACCTCCCCACCTCTTGGTGCTGCTATTATGAACTAGAGAACTGGCTCTTCTCATTCCTCACTGCTTAAAGAAGTCCTCTGACATTCCAACTGATGTTGCTTTTCTTTGACAGCTATATTAGTCAAAAACATTTTGGTGACAAATAACAGAAAGCCAATTCAACCTAACTTGAGGAAGAAAAAAAAACTGGAAAGGAAAGGGTGGAGGTGGCTTCCCAGAAAGATCCTAGAGTGGCTTGAGGAATAGTAAAGCTAAAGCAGCTAAGGGAAAATCCAGCTCTCACAACCAAAGGCCATTTTCATCACCTTTATTTTCCCCCAGGGATAATAGTCTTTCTCTACAAGGCAGGAATATAGCCACTAGCAGTCCAAGAACAATTGGCCAGTACATTTAACCAGACAGTAGAAGGACTTTACTCAAGAGAACAATCCTAGACTGATCTACCCATATTGAATCATGTGCTCCTATTTCAGCTAGTCATGGTGACCACAGAGAGGGCACATCCACTTATGACAAGGAATGTCACCCAAAGACCCACATGTTAAAGGCTCTTGGCACTACTGGGAGGTGCTAGAACACTGGGAGACAAAAATCTTTGGGTGAAAATCATTTCATCATTAGCAGTATTTCCTTTAAGGGAACTATGGGACACCCAGCCTTTCTCTTTGCATTCTGGCTCATGAGTAAGCAGTTTTGCTCTGCCACAGGTTCCTGTCATGATATTGCTATGATAAAATACTCTGTTTAAAACAACTTAGGCGAGAAGAGGGTTTATTTGGCTTACACCTCCAGGTTCACCACTGAGGGAAGTCAAGTAGGAATTTGGAGGCAGAAACCATGGAGGAACACTATCTTCTGGTTCACTTTCAGACTTACACTTAGCCTTCTTATATAGTCTAGAACCACCTGCCTATGGAATGGTGCTGCCCACAGTGGGCTGCCCTCCTACATCAATTAACAATCAAGACAATCCAATCCACAAACCAATCCAGGCAATCCCTTAATTGAGACTCCCCTCTAGGCTGGGTCAAGTTGAAGCCAACTAGGACAGATGGTAACTAAAGAATGAGGGTGGAGGCAGGAGAAAGCTTGTTTTCTATCTTTGACACATGAGGATACCCAAAAAAGCATCCACCTACCATCCAGGAAAAAGGTCCTTCACCAGAAACTGAATGTACCCACACCTTGGGCTTTCTAAGTTCTAGAACTGTGGAAAATGAACTGATGTGTCTAGGCTGCTAAGTCTATGACATCTTTGTTATAGCAGCCTCAAGTGACTAAGAACCTTATCCACCTCCTCAGCCTTTTCTATAAAAATAGGAAGAGAGACATGAGTTTATGAGCGTGTG